GGTGAAGGACGTGGATTTCAGATTGCTCAAGTAAGTTGAAAAATATTTCTTAGGTTGGATATTGGGATCTGATATTGGTTTGAACTTTAACTATTGAAAAAAACACAAGTCACACATCAACTAGAAGTGTCAAAATATAATGTATACGTGGGGTAATTTTCTTACTCAAAGTTGGTTTTTTAGGATTGAGTTAGACGTTAGTCCATCTTTTAAAATCCACCTAGTTAAGCATCAATTGTACAATTATATAAGTTCTGCCCCTTCATAATTCCTCAATCAATTTAAGCTTAGAATAATGTAAGGCAAGTATGAAAAAGAGGTTAAAAGAAAGGCTCCAGCAAATGGGATTTGATACTAATTCTCCACTAGGGCTAAGTTGTCTTGTACTCTAATTAAGGAATTTTCTTTTTCCCAAAGCATGCTATTAAAGGAACACCTTTTCTTGTGCTCATATGGACCAATGAGGCTCTAGCACTAGCATTTTGGGTCCTAGGAGTTCATCATTAACTATAATAACATATTAACCTTTTCATACTCTAACTTCTATTATAAAATAAAAATTTCCAGTTCTTCAATAGTAGGGTCCATCAAGTATGGTTTAACATATAATTTAACACATATTAACTACTAAATTGCCATGTTAACATTGTTTCTTCCACCAGATTCTGGCTCTAGGGAGAAGATTAAAAGCAAAATAGAGCATGACAAGTAATTGCACAGAGAAGGCACATTTCCACTAGATCAATCTAACACGGTCCATGATTATGATGTTTCTGGGGCAGCTAGAAGTCAATTTTCAGAAATTAGTCTGGAAAGCAAGCAAGCACCACACTAACTATAATTTTGAGAAACATGTCATTGAAGACTTGCATTTATCCCTAGTCCAGACACAAATTGTTTCTTCATCAACATGTGAAGCACTAAATAGGTATATTAGTTCTGCAAAGGAGCCACGTCTACAGAAAGAAAAAAAAACTAACAAATGGAAACCACAAGACATGGAAAGTCAAACCCATATGGTGTCTGACAATTCACAAAGATTCTTACCCCAAATACATCGAAAATAGATTTTCACAACAAGTACGACCATAAGAAGAAGAAATAAGATTAAGACAGACATAGTAAAGATCCTAAAATTGATGACATGTGCAGTATATTTGCTAGCCACAAGTTAAATATGGTGTTGAATGAGTTCACCCATGGCAAACAAGAAAAAATAACCAATTTTAGCTTCTAATTTTCTTCACCTTCACGGAACATAGTAAACCTCAGTGGTCCACACTCACAACACAAAAAAAAAAAACTACATCAAAACACGAAAAAGTTACACTGACAATTTTTCAATCAAACAAATAAGTAATCCATCCAATTTCACATCCAATTTCGAAAATCATATGGAATCGCATTCTAGTTACCTCCTTTCCTATTCGAAACAAAGAAACCCTAAAATCCAAAAAAAAAAGCAAATAAATAGGCAAGACAAATTACATGTGAATAAATTCGCCGTCACTGTTCCAACAACACACGAAGCAGAACTTGAAACCTGTGCAATTAATTAAAGTGAATCAGCAAAAAAATTGGTTTAATTGAAATCGAGAGAGGGATAGAATAGTTTAATAAATCGAGAGAGAGATAGAATAGGTGATAACCTAAGAGCGACGACAGGGAGAAAGTGACAGAAAAATCGAATAGGTAGAGAGAGGATTATATAGAGAAAACGACAGTGATAGAAGGTTTCATATTAAGAGAGAGCATTGAAGGAAAAGAGGCCGAGAGAGAAAGAGGATATATCCATGGTAATTAATTGTTAATTTACCGATGTATATGGTAATTAATTGTTCATTTTCCAATGGATATATTCGTCGGTTAAACCAAAATCTACAAATACTTTAAATCCATTGGTAATTTTCGTCGGTAATGACTCATTTTTTAACAACTGTTAGGTAAAATGTAATTAATTATGATCTTCATTCTAACGATCAAATATAAATGTAATCCCATACTGATAAACATATTATAAACTGAATGCGAAAGCGTACCTAAATTTGCCATAATGATGATGTCCCTATTAGAGCACTATTGGTCTTATGGTCTTCCACCTAGAGAGCACCTGTATTTCCCTTTGGATTTTCTCTCCTGATGGGGATAGAAAGAAATGAATGGGACCTATACTTACGTTCTGTGTGTGCTCCCAGAAGGGGACCATGACCCTTTAAATAACCAGAATTAGGTTAATTACTTAAGTTTTAGTATTTTCAATTTGGCCCCTCATCAAATTAGAAATTACTCTATGGTCTCTACACAATTTTATTTTCATGACATATGCCTTTAGCCAAAACTTTAATTTATTCAAATCACTTTATTATTTGGCTTAATAAATAATGACCCTAACACATTTAAATTATATATCATATATATACATGACCCAAATTTTGCCAACAATCTCCCACTGGTCACAAATATATATGTCCTTACAACCTTACAAATGTGTTAGACTTTATGAGCTCAAAATTGTCATTATATTCCTTTAGCATACTCCAAAAGTCCTGTCCATTAATCATATAAGGATATAGAACAAAACCAGCTTTTCATTGCATCATCGCAATTAAAACCAACAATGATTACTCATCCTAACATAATCAAATGACATGGATTCATCATGAAATGAGTAGCATGAAAATTACATGAAGGTGATCTGTACACGTCTATTTTCAACTGGTCCAAACTTTAACTTATCGAGATCGATATAATATCCTTAATGTACAAAGTGTAGTGAATGAACGAAAAAACCGCATATCTATAGATAACCAAATATATCCAAAAATCAATGTATACATATATGAAATTAAACATAGAACATAAAATATATGAAGGTGACTAACTCCCACTAAACCACAAATTGCTCAAACTGTAAAACACCCATGTGAGCAACATGCTCATGAAAGACCTTGGGCGGAAGTCCTTTAGTTAGAGGATATGCTATCATGGAGTTTGTCCTTAAGTGTTCTATGGAAATCTGTCCACTTCGTACTCTTTCCTTAACAATACAACTGATTTATTATCACAATATAACTTAAGTGGTTTTTCAATGCCTTTCACAATTTGCAGCCCTGTGACAAAATTTCTCAGCCATATTCCATGATTTGATGCTTCATAGCATGCTACAAATTCTTGACATCCTGCAAAATCTGAGTCAGAAAACCCAGCAATCTCCAACTGGTCTGACCTCCTGTATGTGATCATATAATCTTTTGTTCTCTTTAAATATCTTATGACCCTTTTTGCTGCTTTCCAATGGTCTATTCCTGAATTGCTTAAATATCTGCCTAGAACCCCAACTATGTATGTTATGTATGGACGCGTACATATTTGGGAATACATCAAACTCCCGATAGCTGATGCATGGGGAATCTTTTGCAATTCCTCAATTTCCAAATTCTAACAATATCTAAATTAAAAGACAAACTGAACTCATTGTTTCCAAATGAACACATATAACCTAATTTGTCCAAATAATAAACTGAAACCAAATTTCGTCTAAAAGACGGCACGACAAAAGTATCTTTTAAATCTAAAATAAAGAATCAGTACACAATAATAATCTAAAATGTCCAATAGTCTCCATCTCCACCGATTTGTCGTTTTCAACGTATATCCATCTTTCAGAATCAGTTGGCTTCTAGTAGTTTAGGCAACCCTTTCTTTTCACGCCAAGCATGATATTTAGCACATTGTTTCTTTACTGTCCAGTCTTATTGCAAAAGAAACATTTATTTTCTTGAGTTTGTTTCTTTTGTTCTGGACCTTTAGCAGCTTCCTTCTTAGGATCCTCCAATCTCTTTCTTTTGCCTTTAGCCTTAGAGGTGCTTGCAAAATGAGCACTTTCTGTCTTGTCTTGCTTTAGCCTTTCTTCTTCTTGTACACAATGTGAAATGAGTTCATTAAGAGACCATTTATCCTTCTGAGAGTTGTAAGATACCTTAAACTGATTAAACGTTGCGGGAAGAGAAATCAACACCAAATGAATGAGCAAGTCTTCTGAGAGTTCAAGCTTTAGTGCCTTGAGTTTAAAAACAATATTAGACATGCTCATAATGTACTCCCTGATATTTCCTTTGCCCTGATATTTCATGGAGATCAAGTTCTGAAGAAGAGTGCTTGCCTCCGCCTTATCACTTTTTGCAAAGCGCTGCTCAATTTCAGCAAGGAACTCTTTGGCACTTGTGATGTTTTCAGAAACAGTGCCCCTAAACACCTCCGGGATGTCGTGCTTAATGATCATTAGACTCATGCGATTTGAGCGATCCCACTTCTCATAATCTCTTTTCTGTTCAGAGGTACTTGAATCCGTAGGAACAGGGGTTGCTCAGTCCTTAACGCAAGATCCATATCCATGCAGCCAAGAATAATATCAATGTTCTCTTTCCAGTCCTTAAAATTTGTTCCATTAAGGACCGAAACAGAATTTAAATTGGCAGATACGTAAGCAATTGTTGCTTGAATTAAGAACAAAAGAAATAAATTAATTATGCTCAATTATAAAATTAAATAATTATAAATAAAATATATATTCAAATAATGGTTTAACCCATCTCAAGACACCCAATGCACCATCAATATCAAGTCTTTGGACAATAATATTAACTGCTAGAGGTATCTTGTTGTAATAATCAAACATTGACAATAAAGCACGTCTAACAAAAAACCAGTCTTTGGATTGATTTATCATCGACAAAGCAAATCCTTATAATTATCACATATTTATCATTACAAGTGTATATGCAATTCGGCCAAATATTAATCTTTCTTTGGGCCGACTAATACTCGCATGAATATACATAAACACTAACATTTAATATTTTTCACGAACTACCCAATTCAAGAGATGTTACTTTGGTAACTTCTTGACTCAATTTGCTCACAAAAATATTAAACTACCAAACAAATTGAATATATTAATAAGGGTAACCCTAAACCAAATTTATATATTTATTTATTTATTATGTATCATCTATCCCTGTAATCCTCAACGCTTGGGAAGAAATCGCCATACACATCCCACCCATCCTCTTATCCAGCCAAATTTCCTTGGTCCCGTTGTCAAACAAATTAGGCCTGCAGAGTCTAGCATAAATATCCCTCTTCCCTGAGTCTTGTACAGAAACATCCTTCAAAGCTTTGTCCACGATGAACTTATAATTCAAAGGCAACTTTGATTCCCAAATGAAATAAGCTAACGAAGCATCGCGAAACGCCTTGCTCAATCGTGCAAGCATGCAAATATCTGGTGGGTCCAAATACATCAACAACAATGCCACACAGCTCTCGGGTAAATCTCCAAGCCTTGGCCTCATAGGGGTTGCATCCCCATCACAAACATAAGAGGAAAATCTACCACCCATGTGGACGCAAACCTAACCAAATTAAACCACTTTGTTTGGCACCCCAAATATGAATGCCTATTTCCTCCCCACCCAGAAAATGAATTGAAGTCAAATTTTGATCTTGAACCTGAATTTATCAATTCCACACACTCAGAATCCGAATCGGCCTCAGAACTTGAGTTTGAACCTGAACTTATCGATCTTCTGAGAAAGGGCTAGAGAGGGAAAGGTGAAGAGAACAGTGATTTGAGTCAAATTCATGAGATTTTGAAGAGAATTGAGAGGCCAAGACGAGATCTTGGGTGTCTCTTTCTTTGAGAATTGTTCACGGTGGAGACTTTTACAACCCATGTTCCGGGATTCCTAGGTGTCGTATAAAGGAGATATGGTATGGAAATGACATGATTGATGAAAGTAAACGACAGACCGTTTAGCAGCTGAACTGAGATTTTTGTGAATCTTAAAGATACATGAAGTGTGTGATGTGGCGATCGGAATACTACTAGGTTGGTGGTTCTTATCTAGAACCAAGGATTTTTCTCGACTGTTTCCGAGTTGTTTTGTGTCAGCTTCAGAGTCACTCACTCCCATTAATAATAACAGCCATGACCAAAGATGCAATCGACCCCATGTTAGCCATGTACTGAGCATGACAACCATGGGTGGCCCTGAGCGTTGACCCAACCAAACAGAGAGGCTGCACAAGAGCCTCGTCCTGCACCACCCTCATAGCAGAAGCATGACAATCCACAATCATCCTTACCCTATTCTGCTTAAACAAAAAACCTAGAAGCCTGAGGAATATCAGTAGCGGGATAATGCAAACCAATGTAAGGCTTTAAATCAGGCCTCTTGCTCTCAGAAACAACCTCCCCATGCTCATCCTCATGAAACTTATAAACCATAACCCTATCGTACCCTGTCAATTCCCTAACACTCTCAACAACAGTGTCACAGAGAAGCTTAACATCACCGTCAGGGAGAGACTGCAGCTGCGATGGACAGCGCGGGGTCCTCTTGCGCGCTGGCTCCAAATCGATGACAATTTTAAATCCACCACCATGCCTGTCGACCACGCCGCCGCTACAACCACCACTGCATCGCGACCCGTGTCACCGCTCCCTCAGCCGCACCACCATTACCCTCCGCAGCAACAAACCCTTCCAATTCGAACTCCGGCAAACCCTCTCTTGGCCAAATCCCGAATTTGCTCGACCCCTCACTCAAATCTCCAAAAACAAAATTGGTTACAATGCCAACAAACCCAATAACGTCACAATATATATATATATATATATATATATATATATATATATATATATTTCATGTCACCGAAACCCTCGTGGAAGATTCGAGGTTCTCTACGTGCATCTCACCTTGTGGAAGACTAAGGTTGTATTGTTTGATGGTTGTTAAGCAAAGAGACAACCAGGATATTTAACCCCAAATTTTAATTTAGGGTTTATGAAAATTTGAGATTAGGGTTCTGAATTCTTAAATTTAATTTACGAATACAAACATGAATCATGTATGGGTGGCTCTGATACCACTTGTTAGGTAAACTGTAATTAATTATGATCTTCATTCTAACGATCAAATATAAATGTAATCCCATACTGATAAACATATTATAAACTGAATGCGAAAGCGTACCTGAATTTGCCATAATGATGATGTCCCTTTTAGAGCACTATTGGTCTTATGGTCTTCCACCTGGAGAGCACATGTATTTCCCTTTGGATTTTCTCTCTTGATGGGGATAGAAAGAAAGGAATAGGACCTATACTTACGTTCTGTGTGTGCTCCCAGAAGGGGACCATGACCCTTTAAATAACCAGAATTAGGTTAATTACTTAAGTTTTAGTATTTTCAATTTGGCCCCTCATCAAATTAGAAATTACTCTATGGTCTCTACACAATTTTATTTTCATGACATATGCCTTTAGCCAAAACTTTAATTTATTCAGATCACTTTATTATTTGGCTTAATAAATAATGACCCTAACACATTTAAATTATGTATCATATATATACATGACCCAAATTTTGCCAACAATCTCCCACTGGTCACCAATATATATGTCCTTACAACCTTACAAATGTGTTATACTTTATGAGCTCAAAATTGCCATTATATTCCTTTAGCATACTCTAAAAGTCCTGTCCATTAATCATATCAGGATATAGAACCAAACCAGTTTTTCATTGCATCATCGCAACTAAAACCAACAATGATTACTCATCCTAACATAACCAAATGACATGGATTCATCATGAAATGTGTAGCATGAAAAATTACGTGAAAGTGATCTGTACACGTCTATTTTCAACTGGTCCAAACTTTAACTTATTGAGATCGATATAATATCCTTAATGTACAAAGTGTAATGAATGAACGAAAAAACCGCATATCTATAGATAACCAAATATGTCCAAAAGACAATGTATACATATATGAAATTAAACATAGAACATAAAATATATGAAAGTGACTAACTCCCCCACTAAACCACAAATTCCTCAAACTGTAAAACACCCATGTGAGCAAAATGCTCATGAAAGACCTTGGGCGGAAGTCCTTTAGTCAGAGGATCTGGTATCATGGAGTTTGTCCTTAAGTGTTCTATGAAAATCTGTCCACTTTGTATTCTTTCCTTAACAATACAATTGATTTATTGTCACAATATAACTTAAGTGGTCTTTCAATGTCTTTCACAATTTGCAGCCCTTTGACAAAATTTCTCAGCCATATTCCATGATTTGATGCCTTATAGCATGTTACAACGGATAATTAGTTGTTTATTTACCGGTGAAAATATCTATCAGTAATCACTCATTTTCCAACGGTTAAATATCCGTTGGTAAATATCTGTCGATAAAAAATGATTTTCTTGTAGTGTAATAAAAAGACTAATATTATTCATATAATTATTTAGTGTAAATTAAAGAATTGATTTTGATATAATAATATATTAAGTAATAACTTATTAAATATGATGCGATGAATACATGAATGAACTAAATTTAATAATTAAACACGCTAATATTACTTTTGTTTATATTATCTTATTTTTTAATCAAAATACCTTGAATATTAAATATTAATGTTTATTTTATTTTCAAAAATGAACGAATTATTGTTTATTTGAATGGTATAATCAGTGACGTATATCATAATAAAATATTACATGATTTTATAAAGTTTTACAATAACATATATGTCCTGATACATTATAAATTAGATTGAGTTTTTTTTTTTATAAAAAGTTATTATTTTTTTATAAATTATATAGTTATTCATATGACAAACACCAGTATTATTATTTTTCTTCAAAAACATCTATTTTCTTTTTAACAATTTCAATCGAATCATTTCTTAGTAACAACACATGTGAAGAAGACAATATTGCAGTGTTCGATAACAACAACACTTATTACATTATATTTGTAATGGTAACCATTTATAACTACAACTATAACTATGAAGGAACCGTTGTCATTTATGTATAAAATTTACATGCCACTATGAATGCATGGAGTGCAATGTGAGAGTTTATGATGATGGTGACATAACATTCTCTTCTTTCGTTCTTTCATAAATATGTTTTTTTGGTTAAGAGATGAGAGCTTCCTACAAAAACCATAATTTTATAGCTCTAAATAAAAACTTTAGTCAAACCTTTAGATTCCAAACCAAAATGTCAATAAAAATTAATTGTATTCAACAACCATTTTCTTATGTGTATTTCTATGTTAACTTTATTATATACACTAGTGCAAAAAATCCTTCTATGTCACATTATTCTCGTGGGATCCAAAAATATCTAACTTCAAAAAAATACGGTGGCAATTTTGTAAAAATGAGGCGAAACTTTTACGTCAGACTCAAAAGGGGTGACTAAAAGCTACGTTTTATTCTATTCCAGCATCACTCCCTCGTCTCGTGCAGCAAGGATTTTTGAGAACAACGATGACAACGACGTTTTTCACACCATTTTCGACCATTTTGACTGTGAAAAACATCAACATTGTATCCCATTTTCCAAATTTGACGTTTCTCCCCAATTGGATTCTGTAACATCCTAATTCTCAGTACCTCTACAACTTTTGTCAAAATTTTAAGAATTAAATTATTAGGAATTGGGTAAAGTAACTGTAGAGTTTTATGTTTATTAGATTATTTATGATTTTCAGGAATTTTTAGAAAATACTCGTGTGTGTGTGTGCCTGAACATTGAGTATGAACTTAACAATTTTAATTGTCACATTTAGAAATTATTATTTTCTTTTATGCATTGAGTGTGGGTACATTAAAAGTTTATTATGTGTATAAATTGACAAGAAACATATGATGGTTAATATGGTTTGGAGTGATTTTGGAGTCTTAGGGGTTGTTGGTTCATATCCTGGTTAGAATAAAAAGGAGAAAACAAAGAAAGTTTTTTTGTAATGTAATCCGCTGGACGCATCAGAAATGCGTTGAGCGTATTATGTTTGAAATCTTATTACTTGCGGCCTATAATCCGCTGGGCGCATCAGAAATGCGCTGAGCGGATTATTAGGTTAAATGTTTGACTTTAAAAAGAAAGAGTGTCATTCCTCGTTTCTCTCTTTCTCTCAAAATTTTCCTTTCCTTCCAGCTTGATTTGGATGGGAAAATCTTGATTTTCTTGAGAAGCTCCAAGAGGTAAGTTGGTTTATCTCAATCTCTTCTACATTTTCTATTTTTATCCTCACTTGAATGAGCTTGAATGGGAGTAGGAAGAGTGTTATTGTAGGTTTTACACCTAGGACACTAGAATAATACTTAGAATTGAGGATTAGAAGTGATTAAGTTAAAAACCTTAAACATCCTAATTCGTAAGTCACTGTTCATTGAATTTTGGGACGTTTGTGAACAGAATTAGGAATTGGTATCATCATGAAAGTTTTAGCTCTTTAAGTTGTCGAAATTTAGAAACTGGTTTCACATTAAACGGATTTTTATAGCTTTATGCCCATTTTACTATCAAGTGTTCTAGCTGTGACGTTAAGAGGTAGTCCTGTTTCAACAGCCTATGTTTTTGAATTACTGAGATGGATACGTGTGAAATTAGGAGTTTATTCCTGCATAAAAGTTGTAGGAAATTATCTCCCCGAAATTTAGAAAATTGTTTCATGTAAATAGCTTATGTGTAGCATGAGTTATAGTCAAATTACCAAGGCATATTCATAGTGGTATTGTAGTTGAGCCATGTTGGAAACAACCACTGTAAACTGAAAAACTGCATTTATTCTACAGGGTATTTGAATTTATTTCCTTCATCAATATTGTAGGTAATTAAGTTATTGAAATTTTGGCTCTTACCTCATGCCAAAACAGCTTATATAACTCTAGAAAATTCTAAAATACTGAACCTTGTCCATATTTGTTATTCGGATTCTTCCTACTCTAAGTGTATTACTTCAATTTCTCTCTTCTACTTGTATTAATTCCATTAGCATCAATTTAGGCCCTAGAAATGATTTTATAACTCAAAGAACCATAGTCTTGAATTTTAGGCTATGAAGGAGATGAGATTTTAGAGGTCTAATATAATTGGAATTAAGGATTAATATGGGTATTTAATTGGCATGTAGGAGACTACTTAGAGGTGCAAAGAGGAGACCCAAAGACTTGATAGATTATTTGATCAAGAGTTACTCTTCACCAAGTTACAACATAAGGTAAGGGGTAGGATAATTTTTATAATTCACTTTTGCTTGAAATAGCATTGAGAAGAAGTCTCTTTACTTCTAAGTTAATTAGAAATTTATTTGGAATTATTTGAATGTTATTTCTATTTTTGATGAATTTTTAAAGTTTTAAGATTATGTGAATTTTATGGCTTCTAAATGGAGCAACTTGAGTGTATAGAACCTTGTATGATTATAAGACATCCATGAATGTTGTTTGAATCGATTGCTTAATCATTAGTAATTTTATATGATTTATTGATGAATTTAGATTGAGAATTAACCTATTTCTATGTTTAGTATTATGATAATTGCTTTAAATTGATTATTGAGATATATTGTATGTATGTTATGAAGCATGATAAGTAGAAAATTATTGTGGAATGTTTTTGTTAAGATGAATTAGCATATAGAATTGCATTGTATAATTTGGTGGAATGGAGGAAAGGTGTGAGAAATGAACTATGTGAGAAAGAAAACTATTTTTTTGATATATTAAATTGAATTTTATAATTTAATTATGAAGTGAATTTTTATATTTTTATTTAATTAATAAATATTTTTCAAAAGTATTGGAATAATTTTGATCTAGGAGAAAACAAGTAATTGTAAGTGAAAATGAATTTTTAATAATTTTGAGGAAATTATTTGCAATTATTATTATTATTTAAGAAAAATAAATTAAAATTGAGAAAATTATGATTTTGAGTGATGATGAATATGATGAGGTGGAAGGATGGTTTGGTGAAAAGTAGAAGTGTTCTGGGCTGTTTTTGGTTATTTTCACTACAAAAAAAGCCTATTACCTACGACAAAAATCCGTAGGTAATGGCAAAAATCCGTAGGTAATGTCATTTTACCTACGGATTTTTTCCGTAGAAAATTCGTAGGTAATATGGTCGTAGGTAATTTACGGAATTACTATCCGTAGGTAATGTCGTCCATGGGTAATTACCTACGTATTCTGTCGTAGGTAATTAACTACGGATTGCAATCCGTAGGTAATTACCTACGGATTACAATCCGTAGGTAATTACCTATGAACAGAATCCGTAGGTAATTACCTACGGATTACAATCCGTAGGTAATTACCTATGAACAGAATCCGTAGGTAATTACCTACGGATTACAATCCGTAGGTAATTACCCATGAACAGAATCCGTAGGTAATTACCCACGAACAGAATCCGTACGTAATTACCTACGGATTGTAATCCGTAGGTAATTACATCATTCAAAATCCGTAGGTAAATCCGTAGGAAAATCACTAGGTAAATTTATACAATTTTATCACCACCAATTTAACTAAATTTTACCTGTTACATGCATATTACACATAAAATATTTAGATATCAAATTTAACAATATTCCATAATATTTATATGCACCAAATGCATATTCAGATATCAAACACAAATCCTAATATTAGCATGCATCAAGTAGTCCTTGAAATATCTAAGAACATACAAATCCAAAGAAGTACTATAATAAATATTATGACAATATTGTTTGAGTGTCCTAATAATTATAGTAATGTCCTTGTTCATCTTGAGGCTGCTCTTGCTGCTCTTGCTGCTCCTGTTGTGATTGTTGTTGTGATCCTTGTTGGGAATGTTGTTGTTGAAATGCTTGTCGGGCATCAGGTGGAAGTAAAGGAAGGACAACACTGACAAGTGTTTGTAATTGGTGGTTCAATCTTTCATTATCCTCCCTATAACTAAGCACTTGTTTCTTTAATTGTGTAATCTCACGAGAATCAGTAGATGCTGAATATGAGAGGGTATCTCCAGGCCTAAACTTATGGGCAAGTTCTCCAACACCGTAGATCCGACCCTTTTTGTTGCTAGATGCAGCAAGAATCCAACTTTCAGTCCTTATTCTCTCCTCCTCTATAGGATCTAATGGAGATGACTCGGTTTCAGCAGCACAGGATGCTGCCTCAGATCTAGCCTCAGAGTATCTTCTCTGAAATTCTTCCTATTCACATACAAATAAAAATTATGTACGATATACAACACATATCCATCATAACATATAAGAGAGTAATAGAGTAATATTAAATAAGTTCACAACTCACATGAGTTTTTCTAGACCTTTCATCAACAAATTCACCATTAACCTTTCGTATATGAGTCTGTTTGAACACCTCATCAATATGTGCAGGACGACCCAACTCCTTTTCCTGGAAAAAAAATTAATTAATAACATATCATGAAGAAATGAAAGAAAGAAACTTTTGTTATAATTTCATATTTACCATACGAATGGCGTGTTCATGCATACTAATAGAACCACCTGTGTGTAAACTACCACCCGTCTCAGAAGATCGATTCTTCTGAGCTTGTGCACACTTTGCACGATAATCAATTGAGTTCCACTTGTTCAACAGAGTTTTCCACACATCATCAAACATCCAATAGGGCTTTTGACCTGTCCTTCTAGCATCTTTGAACATTTCAGATAGCCTATGTGAGGCCTTTGAGTGAAAATTCTTTCGAATCCTATCCTCATCTTCAGGTCTCCAGGTGACCTTTCTCTTTGCAGATGATTTACACAAAAAAACAAATAATAATAATTGTGTCAATGAATGTAAGTAATAAAAATAATTCATTAGCCTAAATATAAGAAAACTTACTTTAAATCGTTGAAAGAATGTCTCTTTTTCAACATCGGTCATTAGGGATGACAATTAAACCCGTACCCGTGGGGACCGACCCATCCCCGCCCCGAGTTTGACGGGGAAAACCCGAGTTGACCGGGGGCGGGGGCGGGTTCGGGTTTTCCCCGCTTTAAAAAGTCGGGGGCGGGGGCGGGGATGGGTAATGCAATCCCCATCCCGACCCCGCCCCGACCCCGCCCCGACTTTATATTTAAATTTAAATTTTAAAATATTAATATTTTAAAAGTATTTCATTTTCTTTTTCTATTACATATAAGGTTATTTTTTTATATTTCACCAATTTTTATTTTTCTTCTACCCACTTTTTAATTTTTTTTATCTTTTTCAATCTTTTATATCAATTAATTTATTATATTATTCTCTCCCTTATCTTTCAGTTTTTCACATTTTCTTAGTCTCTCCCATCAATTTGTTTTCTTTTTCAATCTTTTCAACCAATTTGATGAACACAAAGTTAATCTTTTTTCTTTATCTTTTTCTAAATATTTTACATCAATCTTAGTAGTAACTAATATTAGTTTATTTATAATTTATATTTATTATGTCATATTTTTTTATCTTATTATGCTTATTTATCATATATCAAATTTTATCTTAATAAAATAATTGCATTTTAAAGGATTAAAAGAAATTAATAATTTAAATTTTTATTACTTCAAACTAATTAAATAAGAATTAACTTATTAAATATTTTCTTATAAACTATATATTGACAACTTGAAAATGAATTAACTTATATGTATAATTAAATATTTGAATACAAGTATTATAATAATAATGTTATAAATATTCAAATATTTGAATACAGTGTTATAATAATAATAATAATAATAATAATAATAATGTTATAAATTTTAGATATATATATATATATAAATAAAAAATAATTAAATATTTCTTTTACATATATATTTTAATATAAATATAATAAATTAAAATGTATATTTAATTAATAATAACTATAAATTATAAATATTTATTTATATAGAAAAATACACAGTAAAATTAATTTATTATAAATATAATTATCTTTTTAAAAATAATATAAATCGGGGACTGGGCGGGGCGGGAACCCGAAACCCAGCGGGGACGGGGATGGGGACTTAATTCCTAACCCGGCGGGATCGGGGATGGTTAAAAAGTCGGGGCGGGGACGGGGAGACAAAACCCGCCCCGCCCGCCCGTTGCCATGCTTGTCGGTCATTGAACCCCATGTCAGACATGGCTTAGAATATTGTTGCTTAATAGTCATTGTTATAGCTTGTGATGCAACCCGACATGGAAGGAACCTTCTCCAAATAATTAAATTAAATAATAATCACAATTTCCTAATACTTGCAAATAATGGGAATGATATAATTTTAACTTCATTCTTACCCTAGACCATAAGGTGATATGATAGGAAGATTAGTGCCAAGTGGATGATCCTCCTCAATGTCTGATTGTGCATCACCTTGCTGAATATGCACTTCTTGGTCTTCCCCTGCTGGTGTATGACTGGACTCTAGAAGGTACTCGATAATGTTGATAGTGTTGGAGACCTTGAGGGTAATGTAGGTGAGACCAAAGGTAGTGGTGATGGTACTGATGATACTGAAGGCAATGTAGCTCCTGGGGAAGGTGTTGATGCAATGACAGGTGATGGACTAGGGTTGGGTGCATCAACTGGGGATGGGGCAGAAGTGGCTGAAGGTGCAATATTGTTTGTATGGGCATGTATATTCTCTGCACCTGCAGATGAAGAAGGTATAGGTGCAGGAGCTACGGGTGGGGGGAGGGACATTTACTTTAAGTATATAGCGTGGTTTTTTTCGTTTTGTTACTTTTTTCCCCTTATTGGAATGAGACATGGGAGGTTGGGGTGAGTCACATCCTCCTGATGACATATCTATACATAGGAAATTTATATAGTCAATTATGCAATGGAGTAACGTCATACATAATATGAAATAGAAAAATTAACTCAAAGAAAACATTTTTTCAACTACATAATAAACATTTTCTCAACTACATCATGTAGAATATAAAAATTAACTCATAAAGAACAATTTCTCAACTACACAAATCCTATTCATCTTCATCTTCATCTTCTTCCTCTTCCTCTTCCTCTTCCTCTTCCTCTTCCTCTTCCTCTTCCTCTTCTTCTTCTTCTTCTTCTTCTTCTTCTTCTTCTTCTTCTTCTTCTTCTTCTTCCTCTTCCTCTTCCTCTTCCTCTTCCTCTTCCTCTTCCTCTTCCTCTTCCTGGACTACTTCAACATCAACTTGTGAATGTTGCAATCCAAAAACACCTTCAACTTCAATAGCTTCATTTACATGGGACATTTCATCCATTTGGTAAGGAACATCATCTTCCATGTCTTGAGATTCTATGCGACCTCTAGGCTTCGTTTTTATAGCAACATACCACCCTTGTTTGTCCTTTCTTGATCTCGGATATGGGATATAATATACTTGTCTAACATTATGTGCCAAGATAAAAGGATCAAATGGTAAATACCTTCTATCCATGCGAATGTCTACAGTTCCATATTTAGAATCCACTAATGTACCTCTACGTGATGGATCAAACCATTCACAATAAAATACCACCACTTTCTTCTGGGAGGTTGAAGTATTATATTGCAGCTCATATATGTGTTGAATGATGCCATAAAAATCATCTTCACCTCCTTCTGTAAGACCTTTTACATGTACACCACTATTGATTGTTTTTTTCCCCTGAGTCCAAGCATGAGTGTGGAATTTGTATCCATTGACAAAGTATGTGTGCCATTTATTGACACATGTGAAAGGACCAATCGACAACTCCCTTAAGTGCATGTTTCTTACACTTAAAGACTCACTATGAACCTACAAATGTAAAGAATGTATAGTCATATGTTGTTAACCATATTTTAATAAACTAAGTTATTAATGTAACCATACATACTTGATGCTTAAACCATTGAGGAAAATGTCTATGTATGTGATTGGACATGTTTGAGTCATTGGGTTGACCAGATTGCAAGAAGGCACTATGAAAATATAGGAGAAGGATGGAGAACAATTTAATTAAAAAAGAAAATGATATAATAATGAAATATAGTGTTTGAAATACTCACTCAAGGTATGACTTAATTTCGGTGCAGTTGATCAAGACATGAACATGAGCCGAGTTCCACTCTTTTTGAGTTAACCAATGAATTGATGTCTTTCCTGAGTGACGACCAACCAAGTTAAAGATAAATAACATTGATGGATCCCTTTCAATTTCGTCTTGTATTTCATTTCTCTTATTCTGTGGTGATAGAATGAAGTTCTTGAAATAATGGGAACAAAAGTGAGTTGTCTCTCGATGCAAGTATGAGGCACAAATTGATCCTTCAACACGAGCTTTATTTTTTACTGATCGTTTAGAATCACCCATGAATCTATAAAATGAATGAAATGAGGATGATATTAGCTCAATATTTAGTAAATCAAATTTTGTGCATAATCAATGATAGTCTTCTTACCTTTCAAATGGATACATCCATCTATATTGAACGGGTCCACCAAGTTTGGTTTCATACACAAGATGAATAGGTAAGTGTTCCATTGAATCAAAGAATGCAGGGGGAAATATTATCTCCAACTTACAAAGAATTATTGGAATATTTTCTTCCATTTTAGCCAAGTCATGATGCCTCAATGTTGTAGAACACAAATCTTTAAAAAAATGGCTCACTTCAGTAAGAGGGTTCCAAGCATGCACTGGTAATGAACTAAATGCAATAGGGAGTAAACACTCCATAAAAACATGACAATCGTGGCTCTTCATCCCATGCATCCTTCCCTTGTCTACATCGGCACATCTTGCTAAGTTGGATGAATAACCATCAGGCATTCTAAGTTCCTTGATCCAATGACAAACTAACTTTGCTTCCTCTGCAGTTAAAGTATAATTTGCTTTTGGCTTTACCATCTTCCCATTAGCCTGCAACTTCAACTCTAAATCTAGTCTACAACAATACAAAGCTAGGTCCTTCCTTGCCTTATCATTATCTTTTGTCTTACCTTTGACATTCATGACAGTGTTGAATATATTATCAAAGAAATTTTTCTCTATGTGCATAACATCAAGATTGTGCCTCAATAAATTATTCTTCCAATACGGCAAATCCCAAAAGATACTTCTTTTTGTCCAATTATGCCATTCCCCATAGCCTGGTAACTTGTTCATATGAGGGTAATCTATGACTTTGGGTACATCCATAATTATACTCCAAACTTGCTCGGATGTCAATGTACATGGTGGGTCATTAGTTTCAATTTTTCCCTTTTTAAAAGCTTTTTTATTCCTTCTAAATACATGATTTTTGGGCAAGAACCTACGGTGTGAATCAAACCAACTATTTTTCCTCCCATTCTGCAATGTAAAGGCCTTTGTATCCCCCATGCAATGCGGGCAGGCTAGTTTACCTTGAGTCCTCCAACCTGACAACATACCATATGCAGGAAAATCATTAATAGTCCACATCAAACTAGCCCTCATTACAAAATTTTGTTTCCTTGAAATATCATATGTTTCAACTCCTCTCCACAATTGCATCAAATCATCAATCAAAGGTTGTAAATACACATCAATACATGACTTTGGATTACGTGGACCAGGAATGAGGCATGTCAAAAACATATAAGGTTTGGACATACATATTTCAGGAGGAAGATTATATGGGGTCATAATTACTGGCCAACAAGAATAGGGTGTGGCAGATGCTTCAATATATGGATTAAATCCATCAGAACATAGACCTAGCCTTATATTGCGTGGTTCACGGCAAAATCTGGATAAACTTGATCAAAATGCTTCCAAGCTTTACCATCAGATGGATGACACAACACACCTTCTGGTCTTTTATTATCATAGTGCCATGTCATTTGTCCAGCCGTTTTCATGGATGCATACAACCTCTTTAACCTCGGAATTATAGGTAAATAGAACATGCTCTTAATCGGAATTGGTTTATTTTTACGAGTTTCAACTTTTGGGGCATGATACCTTGGCTTGTGACAAAATTTGCATTGCAGCAAAGATCCATCATTTTTCCCGTAATCATTGTCATAAAAAAGCATACAACCATTAACACAACAATCGATCCTTTTAGCCTCTAATCCCAACTTTGAAACTAACCTCTTCGCATCGTAATAGTTTTTTGGTAAACTATTTTTGTTGGGTGTTACATCCAAAAGCATTTTTATAATGAAATTTAAAGCGTGATCAGGAACATGCCAATTAGATTTGCAAGCTAACAATCTTACACATATGGACAAGTTTGGAGTCTAAAGCACCTTCAAACAAAGGTTTATTCGCTTCCAACAACAAATCATAAAATCTTTGAGCTTCTTCATTTGGAGGCTCTTCCATGATATTTGACTCCGGTGGTTGAAATGTTTCATGTTGCCTAAGTGCGTCATACACCATGTCCTGCATTGCCATCAATGCCTCATCTTCTGAAAAATGTAACCCACTACTTGAAGCATGTGTCCAATTTTTGTTAGCATGAGGCATTTCCTCACCGTGATCAACCCAAACATAATAATCAGGCATGAAACCATTTTTATAAAGGTGAAGTTTAACCATTTCCATTGGCAAGATCTTTGTACATTGACATTTATTGCATGGACATCTCGTTTGGCCTTCATGTTGATAACAAACTTGTTGAGAAGCTTTCATGACAAACTCTTCAACGCCATCAACAAAACTTTGTTTTAAACCACCTCTATTACTATGGCTTCGATCATACATCCAATAGCGATTTGCATAAAATTGATCCATGTTCTACAAAATGTGAACTTTAATGTTACACTAATTAAAGTACAAAATTAGAAAGGATTTTGACAAGTGTTTGGTAATGACCAATATAATAACTTGAAGGCTATTCCATGTAGGCCTCATGTAAACCTCTTAGCCAATAAGGTTAGAATAACTAAATAACTAATCTCATCTTGATAATATATGAAGATACAAAACTAACAATATTCATCATAAATTTATATTCATCAATTATAATACAAAATATTCATCAATTTTAAATGATGATTGGTAATATGTATCTTGAATCAATGCAAACAAATTGAACAAAATAATCAAACAACTCAATCCTTCGACTAACCATGTTACATGTTACATTTATTGCCCCCAATCCTCACTGAATACAAGGCATCCATAGCCAGCTAATCAATCAGTATTTAAAATTCAATATAGAAAAGTCAAAGGTAATTACTTACCTACTAACAAAGATCTTCAAATTGGATGAGGAGTCACTTCCTTCCCTTTATCCTTCTATCTTTTATGAAGCTTCCCCCTATGAAAAATTGTCCCGGTAAAATTTCATTGTACACGCTTAATGTTCTAACAACTAACATGGGTATATCAGGGTTTAGTTAAATTTGACTCCAATCACCCACCAGAGTTGAAGGCATATCAGGGTATTCATGAGTATCCACTTCCCTTCCCTTTATTTTCTAACTTATGACCTAATCTTCCATTTTTGATGTTATAATGAACATTTTTGTAAATCGCTCTAGAAGGATCCAACTGGACCTAAATTTGTCAAATATGCTCATAAGTTTTTTGGGGTCATGATTATGAAGCATTTGTAAGGTGGAAACACATTCTTAACTCACCCACCAAGAAACTAAGCCACAGAGACATGAACCAAGCCAATAGGACTTGGATAACACCAGTCTCAACCTCATCAAGTGAAAACCACAGATTCAAGTCAAACTAAACAGAAATAACGGTACAAAAAACCTTAATAA